TGCATTTCTTTTCCGACAGCTTATTTTGCCACATAGAGCTCGTCCATAATAGAAAAATCATCGATGCCATGACCGATATGAAATTAGACGTCGTATCACGCTAAAGGCGCCTAAATTTCGTGTTGGACAGCTTATTTGGCATTTTCGCACTATAGACGAACACTGCAGCTCTCTGTCGCCTGTGTGAAGACAAGGAGACGTCCGGAGTTGGATGAAAGCACTGAGTAGATATATTCTGTGCACGAGCTTTATGTAAAACAGAAAATTTCTTTTGCACACAGCTTTTTATTTCAGTTGGCAATATTGCACTGTAACTGCGCTAAGCCAGTAGGGCTATTAGGTCCCGAAAAGGAAATGTTTAAAGCAGTGCTCACCAAATCCATGAATCCTCCATCCTTGTTGACAAAACTTTGAAACGGTTGAGAAGTAAAATGTACGTTATGACATATCTCAAATTAACAGCTGATAAAGTGAGGGACTACTACTTAAGCGGCTAAGCCAATGACAAAGCTCGTTGGACTTTAGATAGGCACAGTCTTAAATGGGGTGAACCGTTCCGCTCCGTCATCGATACGGATGCGCTGAGCGCTGTTCGGCACTGACCTCGCTCCTCTTTCTGGACCGTGTAAAATCCGAGAGGGCATCGATCTCACGCGGAATGTAGCTCGGCTGGTACTCGACGGCTGTGATTCTCAATAAGCGACTTTCAAATGTCGCGTGGACGTCCTGGATCAGATCGTGTGTATTCGACGAGGTCTGCAATTGTGGAGGGATTGCATATATTGATTAGTATGGATGAAAAACAAGTATCTTTAGATGATGCAAATTTGAATAACGGAAGAAGACTGACACTCGTGTGAAGATTTGGAATGATGGAAGACTCGTAATTCTACAACCCTTTTTGACGAGCCAATCAAAGGTGAAAATAATACTTGTTTCCAAATATAGTTAGTTGTTTGTTCATCTCTTTAAGGTCATCCAACTGCATAAAGGATGAAAATAGGACGAAGCTCTCGGCGTTAATCAATCCCTAAGGGATGCGCCATGCATTCGACTTCGTTAAGCATCGTTTGGAGGTGACTGAATGCATATCTGGCCTTTACAATGACTCGCGGGGGTCTACTGATGTATCGAGCCAGTGCTGTTATCCTCCCAGACAACTCTGGTACCAGTTTGCCGACCTCGAAGGGATGGAATGCTTGGTGAGCTTTGGGTGCGCGGATCGATCCCATGTGTATTGCAGGGCTCCTCCGACCACTGCGTTACACGCGCTCCTTTGCAATTATGAGCCGATGATTCTTCAAAGAGACTTCCTGAGCGAGAGATAAACAGAGGAAAACAGCCGAAATCATAGGCACTAAGAGGATGAATTGTTAAGTGTCATGTTTAATGCAAAGTAAGATATGTGAGATTTGCTACACAACGTACCAACAGAACATTTCCAACTAGTCAAAGAAGTCTTCTCACTAAGACCAATGGTTCTCTTATCTAGTCAAACGACATATTTCTTCCCTGCTGCTGCCTAAATTACCCACCCATTCGTTTCGAACTTCATCAGACAAAGTCGACTACACGAACTATGCGGTCAACCAGAGGACTCCCATCGAAACGCACGTGCTCCGCGTCTATCTGCGAAGCAAGCAGAGCAAGGTGTTCTTTCAACTGACGAAGCGCTTGTCGAACTAAAGCTACTTTACTCGGAATTGAGAGAAGCATTCTCGGAGGAGAACAGTAGGCGTGCCGGTGTTGATTCTAGAAGACAATATGGCGGTTCCTGTAGCCTTCATTTGAACCACAACGCGTGATAGAGCACACTCAAGTGGAAAATAAAACCTAGTAATCTTTTTAATTTTATGTGTATCTCCACACGTTCCTGTTCAACTCCCCCACTTCATGCAAGACGACGAGTGATGCGCATAAACAGCGTATTACTCCTATTATGCTTATGTTTTTAGTGCAGAAAACGTCTTAGATCCGTTCATAAATTTTTGCATGCCCTGTAACATTCCCTGCGTTTATCAGTCTCAACAAGGGCGCGTGTGGAGCAGTGGTCGGAGGCGCCCTGCAACGCGTACATGCGCCACTCGATCCTTGCGCCCAAGCCCACCAAGCCTTCCATCACTCCGGGGACGGAAAGTTGGTACCAAACTTGTCTAGGAGGATAGCAGCACTGGCTTGGTAAATCGGTAGGCCACCGCGAGTAAAGACCAGATATGCATCCAATCACCTTCAAACGGTTCTTTATGAAGTCTAATGCATAGCGATTGCTTACTTTGCTACCACCGTGAAAAAATAAAGATTTACCGATGCGTTAAGTAAGGAAACGGTCTAATCAGTGAATTTCGCTTAGAGATAGGAGTAAATTTGGTGTGTCTCTAACACATTTGTTACGGCACGATTCACATTTGAGTCGCATACTAAAGCACAACGGACGGAACGAGTCATATATGACTCATAAGGTAGGCGACGAATAACCAGGAATCAGGAGGTGGACTGGTTGGTGTGGCGGATATGAAATGGACAAGCGCCGTTGAGGCTGCAGTGGTGCTTGTATGCAAAGTACACAGTTTATGTCTACTAACCGATTCTTTGTCGTCCTACTCATTCAAAATTCGAGCTCTCATAAAAGTCCTGTTCCCTTAACAGCTAGTATCTTGGCGTACCGAAAACCTTTTTTGATGGAAAAACACTGTTTCGGATAACGTTTCGGCACTACCTTCACAGTGCCATGGACTGGGGTTGTGTTCATAGCGTAGTTATTTCCCACTATGTGATGAACTCTTGATTCACATGTAATCGAATCTAGATGGGTTGGAAATTGCACAAATGAAATATTTCGTTGAGACTAAAATGGGTCGAGTGGTCTTCCGGAAGAATTGCGCAATCTTACTAGCTATCATTAGTATTTGAGAGACCAATCTTTTTCTAACCTCACAATGGTTCACCAATATTTTCTTAGGGGTTGAAGTTAACATGAGTTTGTTATAAAAACGATGACCCACCAGTATTTTGCTAGCAGGGCAAGGAAATTTTCTCGCAACTCTAAGAAATGCCACTCAGGGCATTCTCGAGCTGTCACCAAAAAATATATTCATTAAGTATAACAGAGGTAATCAAATGCACATTAGATCTATACGCCGACCTTTAAGGTCGAAGCGATGGGTCAAAGTCATCCGACCTGAAGGGATAGTGTGCTTGGTTTGCCTATGGCGGAATCGTACCAATGACCTTATGTGTATTACACAGTAGCCTAATCACTGCACTATTAGAAGCGCACATGTAAGCCTTATTCAGGAGAAAGCTTCATGGTATTTGTGAGGTACCACATAATCCTCACGTAAATGTAGACCTTAAAATACGTTATTTCTTAGTAACAAATCTTCAGAATAGGGGCAACTCCGCCACGATGATGTCATACCGTTCCATACGTGACAATCTTACTTTTTCTGGATATGTTGGCGATTTTTAAGGTTCCCATGGTCAGAGTAGAAACAACTCAGTTCTTAGTCAGATGCTCAGTAACGGTTCGATATTTTAACTATTCCAAGGTTCTAAACGGTAGAGACTACAAATTTGTGCAACTAAATTATAAAAAAATATAGTGCTGACATGGGGTGCGTGTGACGCGGTGGTCGGAGGCGCCCTGCAACACACACGTGGAATCGATCACAGCGCCCAGGACCCACCAAGTCTTCCATCCCTCTGGAGTCGGTAAATTGGTACCAGACTTGTCTGGGAAGATAGCAGTGCTGGCTCAATACATCGCTAGGCCACGGTAAGTCATTGTAAACGCCTTATGCATTGAATCATCTTCAACAGTGCTGAATGAAGACGAGTGCATGGCGCATCCCTCAGGGCAACCAACGCCAAGAGCTGTATCCTTCATTATTTTATGGTGCTGATACTAAGTAGTAGGTACAGAATAAGTAATAGAAAGCTTGGTCTTTAATCTATCTTCCATCCGAAAAATTCCGTTGGAGAGAAGAAAACGGACGTTGTCCAGATCTGGCCATGACCTCTGGTTAAAGTGTATGCTGCGGGCTTTCGACAATATCATATTAGTATCAGAGTACCTTTCTCATTTCAGTAGCTACGCTTTAAGCAGCCATCTGTTATTTCGAAGTAAGAAAACCGCAGCTAAAAAATAAGGCCTTAGGAGGTGAAATCAGGAAGAAATGCCATACTACACTTTACACTACTACGACCTCATAGTGACCTATGTAGCGCAATGGTTAGAGTGCTCTGCAATGCACACGTGACCATTGATCCGATCCCACACCCAGGACTTTCAGCAAGCCCTTCATCACCCCGGAGTTGGCAGTGGTACCAGATTTATCTGTGTGATAGCAACACTGAGTTGATACATCGAGAGACCACCTCAGGTCATTGCACAGGTGTGAAATGCATACCTCAGAGATTGGTCAACGCCCAGAGCTTAGCACTTTACCAACCTCATACTCATAGTGGCATACGCAGCTAATATCAGTGTTAATAAAAAATAAAGCTTCCGGCGTTGATCAATCCCTGAAGGAAGCACCATGCATTCGGCTTCACAAAACATAGTTAGAGATGCCTGAACGCATATCTGGCCTTTACAATGACTCGCGGTGGCCTATCGGGTCATTGCTGTCATGTTCGCAGACAAGTCTGGTACCGATTCGCGGACCGCGGAGGGATGGAGGGCTTGGCGGCCTGGTGTGAGTGATCGATCGCTTTCGTGTTGCAGGGAGTCGCTAACGACTGCGCCACATGCGCTCCTCTATCATTGTTTCTGGGCCTAATATTAAGATCACAACTTACCATCCTTTACTAATACTTATACTAATACTAAGAGAAGCACATCATAGGTCTCTAAATCAACTGCTGAACAGTTCTGAGCAAGTAAGGGTGCCAAAGAACAATTTTTATAACGATTGACGCGGTTTTGCAGAACACCGTAATATCGCGGAGCTGCGGCCTGACTCATCTATCCATTTGGATCCGTTGATGATCTTTGAAGAATGGGAAAGACGCGAGCTTCCATGTCCTCATCATCTGGCTTGAAGAAAGAGGTATGAATTTCTATAGTCATCACCTGGCACCTCTAAAGTCATTTTTACCTCCATCTGACAGCTATTGATTTTGTTCTCTATTCTTTAGGCTTCAGTGGTTATTCGTAGGGTTGACTGAAGTATGAATTGGAATGTAATGTGGTAACGTGTATGTGGATACTTTGGAACCAAACTTTTTATGGACGCTATCCGTATTAAGTGTTTCACATTTCCACATAGGCGATATCGATTCTTCGGACGACTGATCTTTACATGTGAAACGCCATCGTTATATACTTTCCTTTCAGTTAGGCGTTTAGAGCTGGTACTTTGTTTATAAAATAGCAGGCATATCCGTTAACATAGTCCTCTTGTTTCGCAGTATATGTGTTATAATTCAGGACACGTGTAGAGCAGTGGTCGGAGCCGCCCTGCAATACACATGGGATCGATCCCCGCGTCCATGGCCCACCAAGCCTTCCATCCCTTTGGGGTCGGCAACCTGGTACCAGACTTGTCTGGGAGGATAGCAGCAGTGGCTCGATACATCGGTAGGCCACCGCGAGTCATTGTAAAGGCCAGATATGCATTTAATTACCTCCAAGCGATGTTTAATGAAGTCGAGTCGAATGCATGGAGCATCCCTCAGGAATTGATCACCGCCGAGAGCTTTGTTCTTTATCTTTTATGCTTTCTAATTCAGGGTCAGCTCAAGGGACCGACATCGCAAAGCCGGACCACTGGCGGAGGTCGAGCTTCTGGCGAGCAGGTTTCGACAGGAAATGGTTCGTCCTTGATGGCCTCCGCAGCTTCGATTACTGACCATGATTGTCTCAAAACCTACCACGGATTGACGGTTTGTTCTCTGTCTTCAAATGTTTCGTTTCGATCTCTGAGCTTTCAATTTTAGTCGATCAAAGATTTCAACAGTGCTCTCCCTGCAAATTTCCAGGAACGGCTTATTCGAGGTTTATTTCTTTTTTAGAATTATAATGGCATTGGTGATTGCTGTTTTGTTGTTTTTAAAGGAGCACTTCAAGCTAACGGCGGAACTCTTCCCTGTTTTAAATGCAATAAATCTTTTACGACAACGTTCAGTCTAATTGCCCATATCAGAAGATGTCGGAAGCCTATAGCGGTTGGAGTGAACTTACCCAACTTTTCGGTATGTTTATGTCCTCTTCCATATAGATTTAAGACTACTTGTGTGTGTAGTTGACAGTTTTTGTGAAATATAGCCTTGAAGCTGCTGAGATATTTGCAAAACTCCAGGCCATCGGCGTTTGCAGCGTGGACCGAACACGCTACTACCCTTTCCGTGGGCTAACGCATTCATCACCATACCATGCGAGTCCTTAGTTTCGCCTTTCTGTTTGCTGTTTTTATGTATGAGTGCTATCAACAATCATCCGTAAACGGGATCGATCTGGGGAGCACAAATCGAAATTGAACCTAGTTAAGCTGAAGCTTTAGTAAAAGGTTAAGAGGATAAAGCTCTCGGCACTGATCAATGAAGAATGCGTCATGCATTCGACTTCATTAAGCATTGTTTGGGGATGATTGCACTCATGCAGACAAGTATGGTATCACTTTGTTTACCCCGAAGAGACGGAAGGCTTGGTGAGCCTGGGACGCTGGAATCGGTCTCATGCATATTGCAGGGCGCGTCCGACCACTGCGTCACGCGCAATATGGCATAAATCACAATGTCGTCACTTGTTGTTCACTGCTTATCCTTTATTATTGGCATGGTATTATATAAAAGTTTTTGTTTATTCAGCTTGCTAAAACTCTGAAAACTCCACGTTCAACGTCGCTGGCCAAGAAACATTTGAATGCATGTTCTCCGATCAGTTCATTTGAAGAGTTAAAGGTGTTTTACGATTCCACATCGCTGTTTTCCATATCCATTAACTCTAACATCATGGTTACTGTGTTGTCTAGGCGGAACCTTCCATCTGGCTTCGTCTCAGTGAAAATGAAAAGCTTAGCGTCCTGAAGGCTTTTTTCCCAGATAAAGTGGAATGCTTCTCAGTTACTTCTGATATTTCCGAGGTGCAATTTTCTCATACTTTGCACTTACTCTATAGCTTAATTTCCTTTTAGAACTTAGATTTTTAGAATTGTCCGACATTCACCGACTACAAAAAAGCAATCGCTCATCTAGATTCTTGTATTCGACCGATGTATTTTGCCTACTTAGTAAGTCTGTTGAACGAATTTCATGTGGAAACTCAAAGAATTTTTTTCAAGTATGTCTTTCATAGTTCAGCAGCTTTAAACGACCGTAGTAGTTGTTATTTCTGTTATTGGTCGTAGCATCCTAAATTTTTAGAGAAGTGTTAAATTAAAAAGAGAGATTTCGCATATAGTGCTTAGAGCATGTTATCGTTAGGAAGGACGTGCGGATGAGTTTCGTCTTTTGGACAAGAAAACCAAGGCTCGTTACGTTCGGGAGGGAATGGCCACAAATCTACAGTTGCCGTGTCTAGAGTGTGGTCGTTCGTTCACCCATCAGTATGGGCTTATCTATCACATCGAACGGTGCAATGTCGACGATGAAGTGAGTCAGAGTGATATTTTTTAGTTCATTTTCTACATTTTCAGTAGCACAAGGTACCAAAATTCTCTCTCGTTTGTAGAAAATACCTTGGAAATGCTACCGGTGCGGATTTGAAGCAACACGAGCGTTGTCTCATCACCATCTCAGAGAATGTGTTGAACCTCCTCAGCCCAGAGCGGGATCAACGTGGGTATTCTTCTAATTAAATACGAAAAATTCTAAGCAGACAAAGTTTTTGGCCCGTGTGGTGCAATGGTTAGAGGCGCCTTGCAATACACATGGCATCGTTCGCGCGCCCCAGGCCCACCAAGCCTTCCGTCCCTCCGGGGTCGGAAAATTGGTGCCAGACTTGTCTGGGAGGATAACAGAACTGACTCGATACATCGATAGGCCACTGCTAGTAATTATATAGCCTAAACATGCATTCAGTTACCTCTAACGATGCTTAACGAAGTTGAATGCATAGCTCATCCTTAAGGAGTTTTCAGATCACCCCCTTTTGTAATGGGTGCTCTTGGCGACGTGAACTTGAGAAGTGGGAAATCCGTTTTAAGGGAAGCTGACGAAACAGTTACCATTAATGGCGTTACTAAGGTGTGTTTATTCCTGCGTTTTATTTAAGCTTTTTTGAAACATTATTTGTTGAATTTGCCGTGTCTAGAATGTTTTCGCATTTACTTAAGAACCGCGTCGTGTCCTTCCTTCACCCTGCCCACCTATACGAGTATAACTAGTTCCGTATTCCAAATATTCGCCCAGCTTTTAAAAAACGTCTTTTCAAATCATGTTTTTCTCGAACTTTTCATTGCTTAATGCTATCTTCTAGCTAGCGAAAGACTTCAGCGCTGAAGAAGCCTTGCATGCTATACTTGGACCCTATCGCTCCATTTCGGTCAGAGTTTTCCCATAGTATTTCATTGTTTTTCTTATCTTGTGTAACATTGTTGTGCGCTAGTCTCCTAAGAGACGTCGAACTTTTGGTGGGTGCAAGGTGAGTGTCTCTGCCGGCGTTATTCCGGAAAATTCCACACGAGCTTCTATCACAGGTGATGGGAAATTACGATTCAAATTTCGAAAGGCGGATATCAAAGGTAAGATCTGACTACCCATGTTTGTTGTTATTTTTAATACCAATTAATAGACATCTTACAGATGGTTTTGACGGATTAGCGGGTTATCCAAGGTATCTCGGACAAGTACGAAAATCTCTTGAACAATGGAAAAATGAAGTTACTGAATTATCGTATTGCTCACGCCTACTTGAAATACAACCCTCTGTTTGGTCATCATATTCTGACTCGTGAGTTTGTAGACAAATGTGGCTTGCGCTCCTTTCTAAAAGTCGCTTTTCTTTTACCACTTGACGCTACGATATTTTTTCTGCTAGATTTTAGCTTCGTCTTAAAACATGCGTTGGTATTTTTGATTTCAGTTCTGTTTTACCGTTCACACTGAAAGAATCTGTCGGATTTCGGATATTTGAGAGTAAGAAGCAGGTAGATTCCTATTAAATCTTTCTTCATATACTCAAGTATGAGTAATTCTGTTAAATTCTTAACAAGAACGATATTACCACAGTGATGCTGAGTTATTTGCAATACATCGGGACTGTTGTCTGCGCTGTGGAGCAAACTCGCTGTTATCCTTACCGGGGGGCAAAGCGTTCACCACCGCACCATGCAGGTCCTTCGTTTCGCTTGTCTCTCAGCTAGTTGTATCGATCTTTTGCCATCAGCAATCATCCATCAGCGGGATTGATCTGGGGAGCACAAATCAGTGTTGAACCAATTGAAACTGGGGCTTTAGTTGAAATAGGGGGTTGAAGGACAATATTGTTTACCGCACCATATATCGGAGAATGGCAATTTTTTTGGAATGTAGACTAGTTCTGTGATGGTTATTGCTATATTGCTTGTTGTTTTTTTATTTACGTGACCCATCACCACATTTGGTGTACAGATCTCAGCAATTCTTGCATTGAATTCATTTTCCTCGCGTTTGTCGTCCACAGAGGTCTTGGAACACTTCGCATGTTACTTTGGCTGCTACCTGAGGATCTCTTCTTTATGCATTTCGTAAAATTCCGGTCGAGTCGATTCTCCTTACAATCTTGGAGATAGCCAAGCTAAGGCGTTCCCACCTAGGTTGACTGATAGCAGAGTTGAACCAACACCTTGCTTCATGATGGACTGCATGGCTAACTACTGCGCCAACTCTAACTCGAAGATATAGGTCTGGTTCATCAATATATATATGTGTATATATATATATATGTATATGCATATGCATGTATATGTACATGTGCATTTGTATGTGTATGAATATATATGTACATATATATTCATATATATTTATGTATATATACAGCCACACAGAACAGTAGCAAGAAGATTGTTTTCATTAGCTTATTTGAAGTTTTATTCTGATTTTACAAGAAGCGCTCTATCCTGGGAAGTGATTTGACCGTTGCGTCACCCATCCTTGTTCTGTGCATGAGGAATGTAACTCAATACACCTAGGGTTGTTTTATGCACTATTATAATTTTTTGGTCCCTTCAACATTGTCTTCATCATCTAGGTTGCATTTAAGGATAATGAAAAGAACGTTCCGACATCATGTCGTCGCTTACAAGCGCTGAACACCGTTGAACTAGAAAATGGTGACGAATATGTGACCATTGCATACTGTGGAGGGCCCATCAATGCAATTCGTGTAGCTCCAAATTCCATGCCTAGTGGTTTGTCAACTACTGCGTTGTTTATATTTATTCACTCTTAATAAAAAAAAACATGGTTTGCTGTTGTGACTTGGTCTCGTTCGTTATTTTCAGGTGAGGAAGTTGTAGCAGTGGTGACTTATACGTGTGAAGAAACACTAGTGGGCAAGGATATGAGGAATTCAGATGGACTAGTTCAATTTTGGTTACATTCCAGTTATGAGAACAGGTTTGGTTAGCGTATATTTGTCACCTGTTAATTTTGCAATAGTATTGTATCTCTATGGGGGCATGTGGAGCAGTGGTCGGGGGCGCACTGCAATACACACGTGGAATCGATCTCCGCGCTCATGACCCACCAAGCCTTCCATCTCTCAGGGGTCGGCAAATTGGTACCAGACATGTCTGGGAGGGTAGCAGCATTGGTTCGATACATTGTTAGGCTATCACGAGTCATTGCAAAGGCCAGATGTGCATTCAATCACCTCCAACAATGTTTGATGAAGTCGAAGGCGTGGCGCATCCCTAAGGGATTGATCGACGCCGAGACTTTCATCTTATTATGTCTCTACGAATTCACAGTTTTTACGAAAAGAACAGGTGGGAACAATGATCGTTTCCAGAGCTGTGTTGCTTAACTTCGAATGACCTTTGATTATAGAGAAAAACTTCATATTTTGAAACTGGACTTCGCACTTTTTAAGATCCAAACTTCGCATGTGGTTCATCTTGAAATCTAATTATGGGTTAATATTCGATGTGCAGTGGTTGGATAGGCCGAGATCATCATCTGATAAATCGTTGATTGGTTTTATAGCGCTGTCAACAGCTCAAGGTGTGATATTGATATACAGGTTAGTTTCTTTTAATGAATATTCATAATTCAGTGCGTTCTATAACTTAATCTCGTGACTTTTGTGGTTTTTAGTCTTCTGTAACCATTTTCCAAACTTTTTGGGTTGTTTTTTTAAACGCAGTTTTGGTTCAGAGATTGTTATTTTCGTTTTAAGAACCAGAATTCTTATCGCTGAATTTATTTAGGAAGAAAGATGAACGATGCTTGAAACCGTGTGATACTTTCTGGCATTTCAAAGCACAGCGAGAATCTGGATGTATGACAACTTTTCTGAGTGATGCACTTACTTTCAGACTCGATACAACCTCTGTACCTTCTCCATCTTTACACTCACAAAACTTTCCGATCGTTGAGCCAAACCCTGCCATTATTCTGGAACAGGAAAAGTTTTTTGACAAACCGAGCGACGCGGTATGTTTTTTTTTATACGTTTGGTCAAAAATATTTGGTTTTTTTATATCCGTGCGGATTGACAAGCTAATACTCAAATTAGGTAGAACTGCTGCAAGCTCCAATAATAAAGCCCTAACTTTGGCATCGTGTGTCTGTAAATGAGCTGAATTTACTTCCTTGCCAAGATTTTCTGGTTAAATATATGTGCGGCTATTGTGATTTAATATTTTAACGAATTTGGTTGATTTAGCTTAATTTTTTCTTAATTTTATGTGGTGACTTCTTAGGATTATGTTTCTCTTTTTACGCTAATGAACTTAACGCTTGCGGTCCGTGTGCTCTAATCTCTTCATGTTTTCTCGTATGAAAGTGACCACGTCCTTGTTTTTCGTTTCACATTTCAGTTTGTTAAAAAGAAATTGTTCATCAGCCAGTCACAGTATACCAGCCTTTGACGATCGCTTTCCTGAAACACGTTGAGTATAATTCGGCTTTTTGAAAATGTTTTCTGGCTGCAGTACGGAATTGAAGGCTTGTAAACCGATAAACATACATTATGTGATTCTACACTGAAGTGAATATCAAAATGACTTGTCACTTTCCTCAACAACCACAGCTTCTCTGGTCGGAAATACTTTAATACTCTCCTCCGTAACAATAACGCCGTAGCCTGGCGAACGAAATCACACAGTGTTCAGTTTTTACGAGTTACCAACTGGAATCTAGTTATTCTTACAAATGAGGTAAGTACACGTATTAAATCACGATGAAGCTATGGTTTTCTGAAGCTTGCGAATTGTTTCCTACATGCATCTTCACATCTGCCATGGGGATCCCAGCACTTCTTGCATACCATTGATTTCCTTGCACCTATCGTCCATGAAGGTCCTTGAACTTTTCGCGTGTAGTTCGATAGCTTGGCTAGAGCGGTCCCACTTGTATTCCAAGAAGTGAACTGTTCCCAGACAAGTGAGGTACCAATTTCTCGACTCTGGATGGATAACAGTCTTGGTGGTCCCGGGGTAGGGTCGAACCAGTGCCGTGCTCATGGTGAGCCACTCTACTTTTACAGCGTTATCCGCCACGTGAAAGCGCACGAATATGTCTCCTTATTCTGATTTTATCACTAGCGCTGGTATATTGAGCAGTCAAGCGATTGGACAAGTGGGATTTTATCCAACACGACATAATGATGCCTATGTATGGGTCATTGCAAGCCCTGTGCTGCTTCTAGGTTAAGAATTTAGTTTTTTTTTTTGGTATTTTTAAGACTCAGGTGAAAAGGTTGAGATTTAAAATGTCAATTACAATGATGTTGAGATACTTGCAAAACTCTGGACCGCAGGTGTCTGAGATATTTGCAAAACTGCGAACCAATAGCGAAAAGAAGCCGCAGTTTGTTGTGTTCCGGAGTTTTGCGAATATCTCAGCACCCTTGCAGTTGTATTTCACACCACACCCTGCTACGGAAAAGAATAGGCAGTAAATAAAATTGATCACTAAAAATGTCAACTTAAAAAATAGTTGTGGCCTACATCAATATAGGTTAATTTATTCGTTAGGTTTCTCAAATTTCTAGATGGCATTTTTGTGGAATACGAACACTCTCCGATCGGTCACGATTTTAAAGAATGTCTTATTTAGAACTCCTACTCATTTGCCCCTCCTATTCATACTATGGCTTGGAGTGCTAGAACTAATGCGCAACACATAGTTGGTGTGAATGCGGCAGGTAATCACTGAAACCCTGAGTGCTTGATGTTTTTGCTTGGAGTAATCTTTGTAGGGGCCGCAGTCATTTGGGATCTACAGCGTTCGTCTGATGCTCCACACGTCCTGCTTGATCCCGCTTGGTCTTCACCAGCAACATCTGCCGCGTTCATTAACACTTTTGAAGGTAACGGTAGATTAGTCTTGAAAGTTTGTAAGGATAACAATAATTAAATCGATAACCGTTTTTTCTTCAGTAGCATTATCGTTCCGTGAGAGGATGGTTCGCGTGTATAATATTCGTACATACGAATGTTCGCTAGAGGAAAATACTGTCCGCACTGCAGGTCATATCAATTTTTCCGTTCTGAACTTCTAATATTCCTCATATTGTCGACTAGTGTTCTCAGAATGAAGCTGATCTCATTTGTATTGTTTTGTCTACGTACCACTCTTTTTTCACTTTAGGGTCTCGTGTCAGTTCACAACCTCGTTTGCTTCCTGGATTTTTTGCTTTTCAAGCGGAGTACTTCTCATCTGGTACTGTGCCAAGTAACGGGGTTTGCTTCATCTGCACAGAAGCGAAATCAGATGGTTATTTCGTGCTTCCTCTTGCAAATAAGTAGGTTGCCCTTTCCTCTAAATAAGTGAATATTTCATTGGCTATCTTTTTCTTTAAATTAGTGATTATTTCGACGAATTTTTCTGTTGCAGACATGAACTTATGACTTGGGATGTTACGACGTCACCTACAAATGCAGTTGTTGCGAGCTGTGGGGTGGATGGAAGAGTTAGTATTCACTGTTCAGTTAGATATTTTAGCACATCTTTTGTCTAATATTTGTCTCGCAATCATACTTTGCAATAGGAAGTTTTTCCAGCTTCTCTTGTCAGCTAATGGACGTCTGGCAACATTCGGAAGTTCTATGGATTTTGCGTTTAGCGTCCTGAAGTCTGCTCTCGCAATAACACGGTTATTTAGCTAGCTCTGAAGTTAAATTTTTAGTTGGACCCAAAGCGTTAGCTTTTTTCTCACTTTATTAAAATACCTTTAGACGACGTGTCAGCGACCCTGAGTCACAACGTCTGGGAAATCTGAAGAATAGTTCAGAGACTGCGGAAGGCAAGGAACCTCATCCGCAAGCATGTCCTAGCTACACAACGCATGAAGATACTTTGCAGCATTTGTGGTTGGACATATCGTTGAAGCCTGAGACGGTAGGTCGTGTACTCAAACTGTTCTTACACTTCCTTTTTCTTTTTTGAAATTTCGGGTCGAGGTTGATAAATCGGAAGATCTTCCTACTAGGTCTAACCCAGAAAGGATATGTAAGGTACTACTGAAGCGTGACGACTGATAGCTTCCATTTGGCTTTGTAAAGTGAAATGTGAATGTTGGTCATTATCAGTGATTTGTCCAACCCTTTTATGCTAATTGAAATAGTCATATTTTTCTAAAAAAAACACTTTCGAAGTATCGTGAGCATGACATATTTTTCGCTTATTGCTCATTTCAAGGTCACATTTGTCAAAATCAGATGTTCAAGGCCCTAGAGGTTGTTTTTTTTTTCAAATCCTTCGAAGAAAACCCAAGGCTCCATTTTGACTGTTTTATTGGAGGTGGAAAATGTTGTCTAGTCTCACTTACCGGCATTGTTCACCTCGAAATTGGTTATTTTTACATGTTTCTTGTTGATTTCTGTACAAACGAGTTACTCTTATATAGGTGGAAGAAAGAAATTTTCCTACTTTGTGTTTCGTAATTGACATTGGATTCTTAAGATGACATTGATGTTCTAACGAATGATAGTTACTGGATGAGTAAGAACAAAAGTGTTGCTGTTCAGCGATTAGAAAGAACTTGAGCATAGTTCGTATGATATATCATTATTGTGCTCTTGGTTACTTGCTTTCTGGTTCGTTACCCATATAATTTGGAGTGAGGACTTAAGCAAATGGTTACGTTTTGTAAATGTCAAATGAACGTTTTTTTTTTTTTTTAGCAAACCCGACGTACCCGATTGGATTATTCCGCCTTGGATCTACGGATAGAATCACTGAATTGTGTGGCAACGAATAACCTATTGAGGTACAGTTGTGGTTTTTCTTTTTACTGTAGTTAATCGTATTCAAGAAATGAAGGGACGAGGAAAGCATAAAGACGATGAATGTCACCTTCTGTGTGGACTGTAATCAAGTGATCCATAGTCATCAAGTGATTCGAGTGGGCACAGTGAATTCTGAATTTTAAAATGGAATTCTTTCTATAAAACATGGTGCAAGTTTCTCTTCTATCCCTATGGAGTCTCTAAGATGCTTTTTAAGCATATGTTTACGAAATATTATTGCACATCTACGATCGGGGTTCTTCTGCTGCTTCAACTTTTTATCGTGGTTGAAGGTTGTTCTTGGGTGTCGAACTGATCTTTAGCGGAATTTTGTAACTTCAAGAAAGATGAAAAGGAATTCAACATTTCTGTCCAGGAAACCAGCTAGCAGAAACGTTATCTCATTGGAGAGTCTGGTTTCCAACACGCTGCTACTGTGTCGCTAAAAATGCTGAAAAGGGTCGTAGCAAAAATATGGCGTTCTTTTTTTTTTGAGCGAGGGGAATCACGCGCTGGAGTGCCGAATAGGATTCGCTACTGCTCACTCAGTTACTTAACTATTAGCTGAGAACTTTGTATAATCCAGGTGTATTCGGTAAGATGATCCTCTGAAAAAGACGGAACTCAGGTCTTCAACCGACTTAGGTTTTAGAGCAAATGCATATATTATAATTCAATGTTTTTCATCAATAAGCTGACACGAGGTTGTCAATATAGAATTTATTAGAACACAATTGCTGTCGTTTCGGCGGTTTCGCCTTCTTCAGAGCCTGGTAAGGTCAAATTGAGATGTGATCTACTCAGCCAAACACTTTCATAACCCTAGCAGACAAAACTTGACAAATCGATTTGCATTCGCATAAGAAACAGCTTCATTCAATTTTATTTTTATTCTTCATTTTATCGCGCATCTACTGAAAAGGAATTCAGAAGTCAAAATCGAAAACTGAACAGCGAATGGGTCAAAACGGCAAGCGCAGCAGGTTTAAAACCAGCAGACATTTCGTACCTTAACATCGAAGTGCTGACATGTCCCGTCCTATACTTACTTATCAAGACCCATAAGTTAATACGCGCTGATGATCTGCGCTGAGACGCTGATCATCTACCGACCCCTCCACTTTTAAAATGAGACCCATCATCAGTTGTGTAGACGGGCCTACAGATAGAATTGCTTGGTTTATAAACCTAATCCTCAACCAGTTCCTTAGCACATAACAGCCCATCTCACGAACACCCAAATGTTCCTAGACCGTCTGCGTAACGCACGTCCCAAAAGCGCGTACGTTATGGAGTCGTTCGACGTAACCGCTCTTTACACTAACGTGTCGAACGACTCCGCAATGCAAGCCATCCGTGAGCTTCTTGAGAAACACGAAGGAGCAATTAACATGTATGGCTTTTCGATTCAGCAACTTATGGTCCTCCTGAAGGTCTGTTTAAACTGCTCGATCTTCAGATGGTCCGGGAAATATTATGCGCAAATTAGAGGGTTGGCAATGGGACAGCGACTGGCACCAACCCTTGCCGTTGCCTTTATGTCTAAAGTGGAAGCACCAGTAATCGATCTCACGCCATTACTCTACTGTAGGTACATAGATGATTGTTTTGTCATCTGCTCCACACAAGAGGAGATGGACAAATGCTTTAAGTTATTGAATGAACAGTCAGAGTACATAAAATTCACCCGTGAGAAACCGAAAGAAAACTGGCTTCCATTTCTAAACCTTCAAATTAACCTATCCGAGAACGGCTACAACACAAAATGGTATCGAAAGCCAAGCAGTGAGAATATAGTGGTTCATTACCGCTNCACGAACACCCAAATGTTCCTAGACCGTCTGCGTAACGCACGTCCCAAAAGCGCGTACGTTATGGAGTCGTTCGACGTAACCGCTCTTTACACTAACGTGTCGAACGACTCCGCAATGCAAGCCATCCGTGAGCTTCTTGAGAAACACGAAGGAGCAAT